CCTCCCCCCTCCACCACTACCCTCTTTACCCATTCACAAAGTCTGTAGTTTCCATGCTCCACATTAATGATTGCCAGATTTAAACATATGTGCATTAAGTGAAATACAGACCTGTATAAAACGCTGATTTAAATCAGAGTGGCAACTATCAGTTTTGCCTCATTCTTGAATAGTTGTTATTCTTACATGTATTTACCTGTAAATCAGCAATCTGAGTTGCCTTTAAGTTTCGTGGATCCCTGCCTTATGGCAAGTTCAACCCCACTAATATGGCTACATTATTACTATGGCCACATTGCTATTATGGCCACTTTATTCTGGCTTGGACAAAAGCTCAGTCAGTCATTTTCTTACTGAAATAACCCCTTAAATAAGGTCACCATGCTAATACAGCCAGATTTTTGCAGCCTGTTGGTGACCAGATTAATGGGGTTGCACTATAATACAAAATCCAAGATAGCTTGTTTAGACAGATTGCTAAATTTATCATGTAAACAATTTGTTTCAGAATATAGACAACACCTGGAAAAAGTCAAGTACCCCATCTGATAATTCGTCAAATGGTTTATCAGTAACAGATCCCCTGAGCATGATTCAAGCTAAACCAGACACTTTTGATGGGCTCGATCCACTCTCCATATTTGCTGCTCAGGAAGCCAATACAAAGCAGGCTGTACCTGTTTCTGCTCCAGTGTCCAAGAAACAGCGGGTTTGTATGCATTTCTTGCAAAAACTTTTGGATGATTTTAATTTCGGACAAAAAAAGGGTCCGAAAATAAAACTGGCCGAAATTGTTAAGTGTCCTAAATTTTAAGAGACCAAAATATTTACAGTACAGTATGAAGCGTTTAAGTAGCTCCAAAGCTCTTAGTTTCCTTTATGGAGTGAACTCTAGGTGAGACACTGCTTGAGATACGTAATGGCTTGATACAAATCACTGTGTTACTATGGTGTTATTTTCGCATCAGTTAACCTCTAAAACCTTGAGGGTGTAGTAAAACTATTATTTTCACAGATGTTGCTTCAGTCTAATTCATGTTTTGTAGGGGTAGACTTGCTTGAGCTACGTTTTATCTGTCTCCGAAAATTAAATGTCCGAAATAAAATGTCCAAATTTAGTTGATGTGTCAAACAGTCAGGAAAATAGCAATCACAAAGTGACAAAATTCAAAGACTTGTTAAGAAAAAATGACTTTGGTTATAAAACTGACAATTGGTAGAAAGTTAGGTACTATGTTATAATTATAATGCTTCATAATGATAATGATCGGGACATTATTAAATTTCCATGTTCTACGATTTGGTGACAATTCTTTTGTTTTGTTTAAACAGAGACCAAAACCTAAACAAAACAACCAACTCAATTTTTTTTTGAAAGATCACAAATCAATAATCTCATCTAGCCTAACAAACAAAAATAACTTATTCTGGCAGAAAATAACCAGTAAGCTGTGAAACATGAAAAAGAAATTTTCAAAGGGTTCTGCTGGGACATGCCAACTACATGTAGCTTATAACATTAAAATGCTTTATCTTCAATAAGTGTTACGTGGAATTTTATTTTATTTTATTTTATTTCTGGTTTCTTTTCTTTTTTTAAAACTATAATTTCCTTTTTCACAGGCATCTTCTCTGTCTAAGGAACAGTCTGGCAAAAGTGAAAAAGAGGACGACTTTTTTGAACCTTGGTCCAACAAGAGAACTGGAATCCTTGCTAAATACACAACATCTGAGAAACTGTCTATTACTACAGTAAGCTACAATACTCCATACCTGTACATACCTGTATTTGTAAATTTTTGACTGTGATATTTATCTACATGTATAACAGATTACTGTGATGGCTACATTGTAAGTCTATCTGCCTTTTAGTTCTGTGTTTAAAATATGAATGATTCTCAGTGACTGTTTTGCATTTATTAAAATTATATTATGTATTCTAGTTAGTAATATTATATTATTGTATTCTCATTTGCTGTCTGTTAACATCAAGGCACTGTATAGATTTTGCCAAGACTGATATGGCTAAATTTGTACTTTCAATTTTCATGTTTTGTTCTGAACCAGAAATCTTATCATTGGAAACTATAAAAGTGTATTTGAACAAATCCATTTGGAATTAATGCGAACATTTCACACAATGCCTTAAGAAATCTTTGAAATATCTTTTTACGTATTAATTGTTTTAATTTGTATTTTTACTTACAGAGTTTCTTGTCATCATCTGATAAAGACAAAAGTGAGTTAAATTTAATACTTTTTGGATTACTTTGGGAGTGTATCATAAGAGTAACCATATTCATGTACCCTTGGAAAAATCAGCAACTAGCAATGTTTTCAGCTCAAACTCTTAGAATTATTGAAAAACATGAAAGCTGTATGATTCTACACTAGGAGTATGGCTACTCTGTGCTGGATGGGATGTTATTCCATCAGAAGCTACCCCACTCTGGAAACTTTTGTCAGGAACTGAGAAAAATGTTTACAGTCGCTACCTATTTATGTTCATAAGCATCATGAGAGTATTTAGTATCTTGCCAAAAGCATAATGCAATGACCACAGCCAGTCTTGAATGGGGATTTACTAGATCCAGAGTCCAGCAAACACTTGGTACATACACATTGCACCTGAATGAACTACATCCTTTAACTTTAATACAAGTTTTAAAGGACAGTGTGTAATTTTCAAATCTTAACACAATACAACATTTCTACTGACTCATAGTGATGTTTACTTTCTAGTTGTAATCAAGCAGCAGACGACAGTCACAGATAAAGTAAAACACAGGCTGGAAGACCTAAATGACTTTGAAGAGGTGACTGTAAAATTGTACCACATGGTGTTGTTCCTCAAAATATCCATACCCCTCCCATGGCAGGTTTTTTTGGTTTGACCCCCAACCCCATCCCCCTGGGGATTTCAGTTTTGATTCATGCTTTTCTTCAAAAATAACTCTCAGTATCAAACCGGAAAAGCTGACTGCAACTCATGTTATTGACATTTTATTTATATAAGCAAGAAATTATTTATTATTTATTGATCTCCTGTATACACTTAGTGTTTGATATAAACTCCAAGGCTAGAAACAGAATAGTTATGACTGTATAAGAAATATTATTTGTCTGAAACCATGAGACAAAAAACAAATTTTGTTCACAAAATAACTCAGCCTTTGTTATGTTTTTCAGGGTTCAGTCAAAGAAATGCTGAATCTTAGTCAGCAAGATTATGTCAAGAGAATTGAGGAATTGAATCAGGTAAACACCAAATAATATAAGTAGTTGTGTTCATAGATACAATTCTTATGTAGTCTAATAATTGTAAATTATTTTGTTGACAGGCTTTGATCACAGCTTGGGAATCTGACCAGAGAGTGAAGGCTCTTAAGATTGCCATACAGGTCTGTATGATTTATCGCCAAATTTGTGATAAACATAGATAAATGGCTTCCAAACAAGCTAACAAGCATAGTATTTTGATGTTTAATTTCTTTCAGCGATGACATAGCTTGCATGATTAAGACATTTTCAGTGCAATAGTGATTATAACAAACTCCAGATCAGACCTTATTGGGTTAGATAGGATCAGCTAAATTGTATCAGATTAAATATCAATAAGATAATTAACTATAATTTAAAAACCTGGCTGACATTTGGCCATGTGGATTGTAAAAGAGCATAGCTTCACACTCAGGAACTTGGAGGATGTATTTAGTCCAGCCCAGGTTTAATCAGTTATTTATTAATTATTATCAATTTTCAGTGTTCAAAACTTCTTGCTGATGTATCTGTGATTCAGTTTTACCCAAGCAAGTTCGTTCTCGTCACAGATATACTGGACACTTTTGGTAAGGTATTTTTCATTGAACTGATATCATACATGTAGGAGTAATATGATTGTATATTATTAAACACAAACCCTATTTGGTTGCTGTTAGACAGTTCTGAATGTTTCTTTTGCAGGAAAACTGGTTTATGAAAGAATATTCCGCAAATCTAGCATCTTTACGCCAGGCAGTAACTTACCCACCATGCTCCCAGGTAAGAAATCTGTCTGTTATAAAAGGTTGTAAGAACTCAGGGGTTTCATTAGGCCAGGCAGCAGCAAATTGACCCACTGAGAGGATGGTTTTGCCCATCTGGTTTACCATCTAGAGGAAAGTTTATCTTATAAAGAAGTTCGGTTGAAAAAGTGTTGCCTGCCTGTGAAAACCAGGCTCCCTCCTGCTGGAAACATTAATGAAACCCCTGAGAACTGGAAAGTACTACACACTTTTTTTTTTTGGAGGGAGAGGGGAGAGGATTTAGAAAGTTACCCAAGATTCAAAATGAACTACTTAATACAAATTTGACTTTGTGTAATAGGCACAAAAACGCCAAAGTGTAGAATAACATTTGTACACATATAGTTAACTCCTGATAACTCAAACCTTGAATGGAAATTGAAAAAGGTTTGAGTTAGTGGCCAGGGATGTTCAAGTTACTGAGAGTAAATTACAGTTATTGTATGATCGAAATCCAGGTGAAATCAATTTTGGTTGAAATTAGTGTGAGGTTTGAGTTAGTGGGAGTTCAAGTTATTACGAGTCGACTGTATATGTAAGCCCAAAGCTCAAGGTTTTGGTTAAAAAATGGAGACTGGATGTTGACCACTCTTAGTAGTCAGAGCTAATGAATTTTTCTTCTTATTTCTGTTTGATAGAAAAATTCACTCCTGACCAGGTGCCAGACTCTGCTAAAGAAACATGTAGAAACTGGTTTTACAAGATCGCATCAGTGCGGGAGCTTATTCCTCGATTGTATCCTTGAAACTTGTCATGTTCTGCTTTGTGTGAGATTCAGGAAAAAAGAGTTTCATCCTGACCTATTTTCTTCTGCAAGGCACTTCTTTGACAAGACATGTACTTTCTTGACCAACTTTAGTTAATAATTTATGCACTATAGGGGAAGTGCCTCAAACATCCGTCTGTTTCATCTATAGAATATAATTTTGTCACTGTTTGCCAAGTTTGCCTAGCTTTTCTTATACATAGCAGGAAGCTCAGTGTCTCAGTCATTAATGGATTGAAGTGTAATAAAAAAAAATACAAAAAAAAACCAGCAAAATCCAAGGGGTTGAAGTTGGAGGAAGAGGGTGTGGTAACCTGCAGGGACTACCATTCCATCCAAGGGAGCAGGAGGGGGTGGTATGTAGCATTTATATATATATTTTTTTGCTTTATGCCCTGTAAACAGGTATATGCTCCTCTGGTGTGATCCACATTGGCCTGTGTGAAGCTAATTACCTTTTATGTTTGAAGCTAATAAAAAGCATTTCATGAAATACAAGTAGAATACTGGCATAGGATGACATTCATAATCCTTTTTTTTTTCAGGTTCAAATCTAGGGGGAGGGTGCAGGGGGTGCACATACACCCCCACTTCCCCTCCTGAGATGAAGCCTTCTTCTTCGTATACGCTTTTAACATTTGTTTACCTCACCAGTCAGTTACGCCATTCCTTAGTGGTGCAACCCCTGAGCCTAAGAAAACTCCTAGATCCACCCCTGCTTTTACTGAGATACTGTTCTGCTACGTTATCTGTACAGTTCAGTTTTCCTTGACTGTTTGAAGCTATGTGGAGACAGCAATACTGAGATGTTACAATTTCCTGACTACTGGGTCAGTATGTAAATGTAACTTGTAAACAATGGGTAATAAAGTATTAAGGAAAAACAACTAGAACACAATTTGTTTTTTAGTTGAGGATATAACATTGTTGCGAATCAGGTCTCTTTCTAAGTGAACCTGTGATGATATATAAAAACTTCGTAGTTAGTCTGAATAAGAGTGCTATGAATTAACTGTTTAAATTAAATACTTGCTAGCTACACGTAAATCTCCAATTACTTTTAACTTCGAAATTTTCAGTGTTGAAACTTTTCCCATTGCCGGTTTTCACATGACGTCACTAAAATTCAAACTACAAAACTATTGATCTTCCAGAGATTTTACTTAAATGATGTATAAGAGCAGCTGAAAACTAATATT